ATAATGACGGGGATATAGCGTAGTTCAGTCTTCACAGCTTGCTCGGCTCTACCTTATTGGTTGTGTTATACAAAGACTAGCATAGGCACTCGGCGTTGCTTAGGGGAAAACGTCTATGGACAAGTTGTCGAGCAAATCCTGACACATATAGGGCTACTCACTTAATTCTTAGCATATAGTCGCAATAGAGAAACGAAATACCTAAGATGGTAAACAATATTGGGACAAAAACAATTTGAAAGGTCGTATGATTTCATGTCGATCAAGTCGAGAAAATCACCCTGCCTAACGACAACAGAAAGATAAACTCATAAATCTAAATATATATATATATAATAATAATATATATGCACTATTGTATACAAAAACATTCTTGGTTTTCCATGATCCTTGAATTAACAGTGTCAAGCACTATAACTTAAGTGAGTTATATTTAAATTCTTAATCCTATCAAGTTAACACATTTATAAGACATTTGTATGGTGAAATATCAGCATGTGTCAGATGATAACTAAAATCTATTATTTATATATATATATATATTTATATATACCAGAATGTGCATTCTACGGGTTCATTTGACCTGGTATGGGATGATAAAGTCAACAGATTGTTAATACTCTTTATAAATTTATAATGTTAGATCAGACAAGAATGAGTTAAACAAGTCTTCATACTTCCCAGTGTAAAAAATATACTACAGTTAGAAAGTGTAAATAATGCAAAAACATTTGGTTTCAGACCCAAAAGCATGTTTGGAATTCATGGCAAAGGTGCAGGAAAAAGTGAAGACATCGGATCAAGCTCAAGTGTTATGTTTGACCGTAACAGCAACAATTTCCCTGCAGTTGCAGGACCTTCCAACGACAAAGGTAGAAGTGATACTGGGTCGCTGTAAGAAATTTGTGTGTGTGTGGGGGGGGGGGGGGGAATGAGGTTTGCCCTGAATGGTTTGTAATACATAGATCTGTAAAAAGATAGATGAATATTTTGGACTATGAGGCTATTGAGTATTCAAAATTAGTTCTTGAATTACCATGCAAGTTTAGCCATGATGACGTCAATGGGCATTTGGATAAATAGAACTATGTTCAACTAGAATATAGAAGTGTGTGTATATATGCACGGCAATGTGCATCAATCCTGTGTATTGGATATCTGTTATGAATGTGCTCGGCATGGTGGTTCATTTGCACATATTTCTCTAGTTAATAAGCCGGGCATTTGGAGCACCTCGCTTGTGTAGCCACGGATCTATGGTCCTCATTGACAACCTTTGCCAAGCTGAATAGATTGTGGACATGCTCTTTGCGGTGTGACACACAGGATCTGATAGAGAAAGCAGAGAAGCTACTTGGGGAGCAGGATGGCGTGACGACGGTGCACAGCCGGTTCTACGACCTGTGCAGCAACTACTACAAGACGGTCGGAAATCATGCAAAGTACTACAGGGACACACTGCGATTCCTTGGCTGCATGGACCTCACAGAGATGTCAGGTAACTGGAGTACACTGGGAGGGTGGGTGTATGCAGATAGCGGATGCTTATAATTATTAAATTGTGTTATTGTCCAAAGCGGTTTGAGATACATGCAGATATCGTGCTAAGAGTGGCCAGAACATCTGTTCTGATCGTTGTGATCCTCGTTGTTCTAAATGTGTTATGTATGTGTCGTCAGGGAATAATTTTCCCGGTATCGCATCGCAATTCGCGATGTATTTTCAGCCATTTGCTACGCATATTTTTTTATGAATCGCAGTTGTGCGATGCAGCCCATGCGAGATGTAAACGGAAACATACATTTTACATACGTTTACAATTTACTTTTATTCTCGGGCTGCTTTGCCCCGTCTCTGAAATGCCACGTTAC